AATCGATGCATGTACGTAGGTTACTGGAGCTGAACGAGCAGACGCTGGCATGGATGATGGCCATCGACACGTGCTTCCTCCTCGACTTCCTCGAGAGCTACCACCGCGACGAGGCCACCGACATGGTCTCGTCGGCGGCCAACTGGATCAACGCCGTCGTGCGCGACGCCATCATGCTCGAGAACCAGATCCCGCTCTTCCTCTTCGCCGCCGCCCTCGAGCTCCGCCACGGCACCGACCAGGCCCAGGCCGCCTCCGCCGCCGCCGACGCCCTCCGCGGCGTCCTCGGCCGCTTCATCACCGAGGTGTCCCCCATCAAGACCACCGCCAGCGCCGCCCTCGCCGTCGCCGGCGACGACCTCGCCAGGCACGCCCACCTGCTCGAGCTGCTCTACCACTTCCTCGTCCCCACCGACGCCGTCGCCGAGGCCGTCGGTAACGAGCCGCCGCCGCTCGTCCCCGAGGACTTCTCCGCCGTCGACGTGTTCGACCAAATGCAGAAGGAGATCCCCGACTACGACAAGGTGAAGCAGGCGTGCGTGCAGGTGTCCAGCCTCGACATGGCGCCGATCCGGTTCATCAAGAAGAACCTCATCTCCCGGCCGATGGGCCTCGCGGCGAGCCTCCCGGGGAAGCTGATGCGCAAGGTGCCGCTGCTCTCGGCGGTGGCGCCGCTGGTCGGGAAGCTGTGGTCGTCTTCGTCGTCGGCGGCGGACATGGAGGCGCGGCTCAAGGGGGTGAACCTGGGCACCATCATCAACTCCCCGCTGGCGCAGGAGCTGATGATCCCGTCGGTGGCGCAGCTCGCGGCGTGCGGCGTGCGCTTCGCCCCGGCGCCCGAGGGCATCGCCGGGATCGAGTTCGACGCCCCGGCTGCGACGCTGAAGCTCCCGGTGATCACCGTCGACGGCAACACGGAGACGGTCCTCCGCAACCTGGTCGCGTACGAGGCGGTGGCCGTGCGCGGGCCGCTGGTGCTGGCGCGCTACACGGAGCTGATGAACGGCATCATCGACACGGCCAAGGACGTGAAGATCCTGAGGCAGAGCGGGGTGGTGGTGAACCGGATGAAGAGCGACGGCGAGGCGGCGGAGATGTGGAACGGGATGTGCAGGGCGACGCGGCTGAGCAGGGTGCCGAGGCTGGACGGGGTGATCCGGGCGGTGAACGAGCACCGGAGCAGGAGGGCGGCGGTTCGGCTGAGGAGGATGATGAAGCGCTACGTGTTCCGGTCGTGGCGGGTGCTCACGCTGCTCGCCGCCGTCGTGCTGCTGCTCATGACGGCGCTGCAGACCTTCTGCTCGGTGTACCAGTGCAACCGCTGGTTCGGCAACATGCTGCAGATGCCGCAGCCTGGAGGTAAAGGGCCCTAGCCCTACGGCCTTGTTTTGTTTTCGGGAGCTTTCTAGCAGCTGCAGCTTCTCTCTGTATTGAAAATATGCTTGAACGGTTGAAAAAAAAATCATAAATGTTATAAATAGTAACAAATTCAGTATCTAAAATTTCATGGACTTGTTGATGTACATGAATGGTATAAGCTGATACCTGTAAAATTCGCGAAGTTTTGTGTGTGCTTTTACCCATATGGTTTAGTGTATCTCTACTCCCTCCCACCGCAATGCTCTGCTTGGCACGATAGAGCCGCCGACGAGGTGTTATGGGCTGGTTTGTTCCATGTCATACGGGCCGTAATTTTCCGGGCCTTGCCCCGAAATCCCTCGAGCATTAGCTTACACGGGCTGAAAACAAGGCGTTTCATCGGCCCACCAACCTGGATGAAACAACAAAAAATAAGTCTATTCACCTTCCTCCTCTTTTGCTCCTAACTGAACCGCCTCCCTCAACCGTAAAACCGGGTACAGCACATCCCCATCTTTAAAAACCGGCACAAATAAACTTATTCAGTGATTTGGGAAGCGGTTTCTGCTTACGTGACAAGTTGATCGCGGTTGGCTCGATGAGTCAGGAGGTTGGACCCACATGTCATCGACTATCATCTATCCCCCCCCATCTCCCTCTCTTCTACTACTCTCTTTTTTTTCTCCTCCTTGCTCCTCAACGAGTGCAGCCGAGTGGCACTATGGTGGCTACGGGTCTTGGAGATGAAGCCACTGGATCGGTAGCGAGCAGTGGCCGGAAGAGCAGCGTTCGGGTGAGGACGGATCAACTCGGCGTGTGGGCGACATTCGGGATTAAGGAGGTAGCAGTGGTGGAGGTGCTACAGCGAGGGGAACTCAGCATGTTGGGGTTCACGGCTATCAGAGAAGCACGGACATCTAGCGATGAGTGGGCTTGGCAAGAGGTGGTGGGGTAGAGGAGATCGAGTGGTGGATGGCATCGGTGGGGAAAAAGAGAAAGGTGCTGGAGCAAGAAGGTAGAGACGTTGTTGGACCTAGGGGGAGGGGGTAGCCGGGGCGCCAGAGGCATGGAGCAGGTTAACCTCTTGATTGTTTGAAATGTTCTTCATCCTCGTCATGTTCTTCGATCCACCGGTCCAAGGGACGGTCATGACGTGTGGCGCAAATCATGGTAGCAGGTGAGGCGTGCGGCAATACGTAGATGACAACGAGCATGACCTTGGCGTCATTGATCCTGGTGAGGAATGTGGCCTCACTACCTCAATGCCGGAACGCCGCCGCCGCTGCCTTCCGATCTCCTGCTTCCTCCCACGCCACTATAGCCTCCCCGAGCTTCTGCTCTAACCGTGACTCTGAGGACATGGATGGAGCCTCGTCTCTAAGGCCGTTCCCAGTGCATCACACAAATTTGAGGAACCTCGAGGTGCCATGTAGGCTAGAGCTACAGGTCCAACCTTTGGGTTCTTCACAGTGCAAGTGGCTCTAGGAGTAGCTTTAATTTTGTATTTTAGCCCCTAACACTTTATGTTTCAGTTCTCATTTTTCCAATTTATGTGTAGGTCTAAAATTTACAATAAACACCCTCAAATCTAGAAAAAATATTAAAACCCCCTTTCCCCTCTCTCTCCCTTATCTTTTCGCTCATCTCGCATTCTCGTTGCAACTCTCCGGCCGCTGCGCCTCCCCTCCTCCATCTCCAGCCGCCGCGCCTCCCCCTCCTTCGGCCACCGCGCCTCCCCCAACTCCTCCAGCGCCACTCTCCCTCTCCCCACCGGCTGCCCCCTATCTCCCTCCCCATCTCCGCGACTTAGAGCCAACAGTAGCTCGACGCTGGCAACTCCGCGCCCCTCCTCGCCGGATCTGGCCTTGGGCGATGGCGGGTCGACGACGGCGGGGGCGGCGGTGGCGGCTCGACGGCTAGGGCGGCAATGGCTCGACGACGGGGGCGGAGACGGATGACGATGGCGGCGACGGGTCGATGGTAGGGGCGGCAGCAAGAGGAAGGTTTGCTTCGCATTTTGGGACATGGTCTCTACAACGTAGTGTCGACCCTCTCTCGCCGCGTCACAGGGTTTCTTCCTGACAAGTTATGACGAGGTTTGGGTGGCCAAACGATGCTCCGCGTACTTCATAGGGGCTCGCTCCACGCCTAGATGGCTCGGAATCTCTGCGCTGGTGAGGTAAGGCCGAACGCCACCTCACCGCACTATGAATGGCCTAAGGATACAGATGGAACCGAAAATTCCCTTGCCTCTAAGAATGCACTGCCATTGCGATCTCCCTGATCTTCCATCTTTCCATGCCATCTTCTCCTCCCTGAGCGTTCGCTCCCGTTATGACCCACAAGCCTCTCGGATTATGAAGCCATCACCAATACCATGGGGGGTTGTCTTCGCCATCGCCTACCTCGACCTCCATCTCACGGACCTTGCGAGGGTTCCAAGGCAGCATCATCTTTAGGATCATCACTGACAACCCGACAGGCCGATACCTCCCTGCGGACACTGGCTCCTACTGCCGCTTGGACTTCTTGGACCTCTCCATCACCCTCTCTATCTTCACAAACCAGTTGTCCTCGAGTTCACTGTCCTATGCCTCGGGAACCCTCTCTGCCCTCCCTGCTTGTCTCGTTGCTACTATGCTTCTCACGGTGAGACAATGCTTAGGTCACCCTCGAACCCAGCCTCGGGCATGGGGATGACTCAGGATGGAGGATTTGTGCCGCTGCCCTCGGGGAAGAGATGGAAAATAGAGGCGAGGTGGAGAGAGAGAGAGGAGGGAGGTTAGGAGAGTCGATGACATGAGGGTCCCACATGCGAAATCAGCGAGTCAATCATGATCAACATGCGATGTCAGTAAAAGCCATTTTCTCAACCAATGAAGGAACCAATTTGCACCGGTTTTCGAAGACAGGAGAGGCATTACATCCAGTTTTACGGTTGAGGGAGGCGAATCAATCAAGAAATAAGAGTTGAGGGAGGCCAAACAGACATATTCCAAACAAAAAAGTCTATGCAGGCCGGGCTATACTGCTATAAATGGGCTCGTCTGTTTATTGGACAGATTGGGCCCAAACCTGAACCTACACTAGTGGCATATGGACTGATATTCAACAAAAGCCGGGCCCCACCACGGTTTGTCGGAACGTAATCGCCAGCCGCCCTTCCGTTCCTTGGCCTCCACGCCCGTCCTTTCTGAAATGTTGACTTTCTTCTCTCTCTGCCGCTCTGCGTTCCTTCAACGCAAGCAACCACGCATCAGGTCAACCGACAGCATCTACTGGTACTAGCAGCCTAGCAGTACAAAGCTTCGAAATTCTTGGGCCAATCCAGCTGTGCTCTGCATCCCGTTGACCCGTTGACCGCTGAATCAAAAACCGACCACATTTCAGCGTGCAGCCTCCCTCTCCACTCCATGGAATATACTAAAGAATTGATAAACTCCTACCACAAGAAAGAAACCAGCGACTCGTTTAGTTAGTTAGATTGATTAGCCGGTCAAGTTCGCTAATTACTTGCATGACTCGTACTTGACGTCCCCCAATCTGAACGCAACAGATACGCGCAGAAAATCTTTCACTATAGCGACTTTATTCTGTACGAAATTTCACTAATCATTTCTGCAGATCTGAATTAACGTACGGGAGGCTTTTGGTTAAATTTCCATCCACGGATCGAATTAATAAAGAACAAAGAAATTGTTGACACAATGTTCTACTAATGCTAGTAGTAATAATGAACAACATGTTGAGATTTGACGAAGAGATGAGATGCACTCTACTATGAACAGTACAAAAATCTCCGGCGAGAAACAGGGGCATACAAGGATTCAAAATTGCCATTGGTTGAGATCGTAGGAGGCGTGACGGATTCGCGGTTTGTGCTCATGGCGACGAGGCGGCGGCGGCGGCGGACATGGCGGAGAGGCGGCTGGGGCGCGGGCGGAAGGCGGCGCGGCGGCGCTGGTGGTGGGAGGACGGGCGGATGAGCGCCGCCACGGCGCGGCGGACGTGGTCGCCGCCCTCCACCGCCGCGATGCGCACCAGCGAGTTCGCCATCGCCGACCTCCTCGCGTCCTCGCGCAGCCCGCCGCACGCCGCCGCCACGGAGGGACGCGACGGCGACGCCGCGCCCCGGTGCAGCGCGCACCGGAAGGAGCCCGGGTGCGTGGTGGGCGAGCACGCGCACTCCCTCCTCCTGCTGCGCGCGCCGAGGCCGCCGCCGCCGCGCGACGACGACACGACGGCGGCCGTGGCGTGGGGGAGCGCGACGCGGAAGGCGGACGGGAGGAGGCCGCCGCCATTCGGCTGGCGCGTGGGCGGCGGCGGCGAGCGTGCACCGGCGCCGGATGAGAGCCTGACGCGGCGGCAGACGGAGGGGGACGCCGGCGTCGGCGTGGTCGACCTCGCCATCGGTCCAAGCGCGGCGTGGCGTGGTGGCGCTTCGGTTGCGGCGCGGCCAAACCTAGCGTCGCCGCCGCGGCGTGAATTTATAGGCGGGAAGCGGGTCCATCACTCCAAGCCCAAGCAAGTGGTCTCTTCTTCTTCTTCGGTGTGGCTGCCTTTGTGGGCCCTGGGCCGAGGCCCACATGCATTGTTCACACTTCAGAGAGCTTCTAGAAGCATTGAAGACACAAGACTACCTCAAAGGAGGAGAATAATGAGAGCCTCAAGTCCTGTGATCTTGCAATCAAAAGATCTTGTAAGATCATTGACAATCTGCTTACAAATGATTATACACTACTAGTAGTATTTACTTGACAAATTCATTGCTTTGATTTTGAAGGATTGATGTCTACAAGATTTTTCACCGTGCGTCTTGGATTCTGATCTCATGGTAGCTACTGACATAAAATTAGTCCGAACTAGCTGGTAGCCCGCGCAATTGCGCGGCTAGCACCCAAACAAAATCATATATTTTTTAAGTATGATTTTACTTAAAATTTATTAAATAACTATCTCATTTTCTTAAGACTTTAAAAGACCAAATCTTATCATCCTCGTGTTTCTAATTATATAGTTTTTAAAAGTAACACCAGTTGCTACCTCTTATGTCATCTCCTTCTTTGTTTGCTTGCTCGATCTACCACTATTTCTATTCATTTTTCTTGGAACCTTTAAAAATTGGATTTTATAGTTTTTAGAGTTTATTGTCACGTTGGGTTTCGTTTTTATAATATCTAGATGTCCTGTCAAACGTTGCCATTATACTCCTCTACGGCCCATCCACTGTTTCTTCTCTTTATTGTCATTAAGATTTTAAAAATCGAACATAATTTATCGTTTTTGTTCATTTTTTACTTTCTAGAAGTCCCGCCAAACCGTCATCGGCTTTGCCATTGTACTCCTCTACGGCTCGCCCACTGCCTTCCTTCGTTATTGTCATTGTGATTTTAAAATCGAACATGATTATCATTGGTTTTTTTTTACTTTTTGGAAGTTCCAAACCTTTAAAAATTCGACTTGTAGTTTCATTTTTTTTATAATTTTTAGAAGTCCCATCAAACGATGCCACTATGCCCTTCTACAGCCCGTCCGCCGCCTACTCTTTATTATCATTATGATTCTAAAAATCAAACATAACTATTGTTGGAATTCATTTTTTATTTTCTAGAAGTCCCGTCAACCGTCGGTGGCTCTGCAGCTATACTCTTATACACCCTGCCCGCTGCTTCTCCTTTTTATTGTCATTGAGATTTTAAAAATCGAATATGATTATCAATGGTTTTTTTTTTTTACTTTCTAGAAGTCCCGGCAACCGCCCTACTTGTTTGCTTTATGGCCTGCCTGACGTCCTTCCTTTTAATCGTCGTTAGGATTCTATTTGGTATTTTATTAATAATTTTTATATATCGTATCAACTGTCACCACTCTACTCCTTTATAGGCATATTACTTAATTTATCTCGTCATGTCGTCATGTGCTTTAGATTGTTTTTTCTTTCAATAATCTTTATTTTTATCACAAATTTTAGTTATTTATAAATTTTATTCCTAATTGAAATCTTATTTTCCTTTTTCTAATTTCAGAATTTATTTTTAAAAAAAATTTAGTTACTACCATATTGTGTTCTTTTAATGTTTTTATTTTTTCATTTTCAATTTCAATTGTTTCAAAATTGTATTCATACTTGAACTTTCTTTTAATTTTTCTAATTTTGGATATTATTTTATTTTTTTCAAAATTTTAATTAATCTCGTATTGCGTTCTTACTTGGATTCTTCTTTCAATATTACTTATTTTTAGTTTCGAATTTCAGCTAATTTAAAATTGTATTCCTACTTTAACTCTTCTTTTATTTTCTTTTTCTAATTTCGGATTTATTTTTATTTTTATTCCGAATTTTAATTAATCTCGTATTGGGTTCTTATATGGATTCTTCTTTTAATATTCCTTATTTTTAATTCCGAATTTTAGCTATTTTTAAATTGTATTTATACTTGGACTCTCCTTTCCTTTTCTAATTTTAGATTTTATTTTATTTTTATTTCGAATTTTGATTAATCTCGTATTGGGTTCTTATATGAAAACTTCTTTCAATATTGCTTATTTCTAATTCCGAATTTTAGCTATTTTTAAATTATTTTTCTACTTGGACTCTCCTTTCCTTTTCTAATTTTGGATTTTATTTTATTTTTATTTCGAATTTTGATTAATCTCGTATTGGGCTCTTATATGGAAACTTCTTTCAATATTGCTTATTTTTAATTTCGAATTTCAGCTATTTTTAAATTAGACTTCTACTTGGACTCTCTTTTTTCTTTTTTTTCTTTTTCTCTGATTAATGTGGGAATTTCTAGCCCCCACAGCGATCATGGTGTCTTTTTTCAAAGCTGTTTTAATAATATAATAGATTCCATGTGAATTTAACAGTGGCGTAATTGTTCTGTTTCTTTACTCCATGGTTCTAAATTCCATTTCAGAATTCAGTTATGAGGTGACAACTGTCGAGATTTGACATGCTGAACTAGTCCAAGCCAATATGGAACTGGTTTCAGAATGGGCCACTCGAATTGAGACATTTCAACAAACTGAATCTTTTTTTGTTTCTCACTTCAAAATCCCAATGGCACTTAGCTCACATCATTTCATACGCTGTTAGCCTTATGTTAGCCCACCTGCTGGAAAACTCTGCTCAAACCTCAAGCTTCAGCAGGACATCAAAACAACAAAAGCAACAAAAAGTAACTGCTATATGTACAGAATTTCAGATGCAGAAAAACAGTGAGGCTGTTGATTTTTGCAGAGGAGGAGGGTATTCTTATTCTTCAGGGTTCAGAATAGCAGCAGCACAATGCACAAGCATCTTTTCTCTGTATACATTGCACTTCAATCCCATTGTGCTCTGTGACTCTGTCCTCAACTCCACACTGCAAAAAGGGCTTTGGTGCACTGGCACATCCATGCAAGAATTATTAGGCTTCTTGTTTATTTTTTATTTGGACAGACAGCTGAATTCTGTTTGTGAGGAGCCTCATAAAAAAAATACCACTTCAATTTGGAAAGCTTTATGAGGAGATTAATTAATTAACTAAAATTGCTATGGATGACAAAGGAGATAACTGAATCAGCAGTGGCATGAAAAAAATTGCTGGTCAGAGCCAAGCTGCAGCTGCTGCAGGGTTTGTATAGTGTTCTTGTATTGTACAGGGTTGAGGGTTCCAACTCCCTTTACTAGCACTAGTTATTATTACATGATGGAACATGTCATCATCTCATCTCTGCTCTCTTATACTTAATTAATTAACTCTCTTCATTAATTAATCACTCGATTAAGCTATAAACTCTCTGGGTGAAGCAGCAGCATCCATCCAAGAAAATTAAGAAGAAATGAAACTTAATTTTCCAGGGTTAATCATTAATTGACCCTTCTTGTTCTTGTCTTGGATGGATCAGCAGCTCTAGCTAGATGGATACTTGGATAGCTGACGCCGCCGGCGATGGCGATGGCGACGGCGAGCTTCACCTTGGCTTGAGGCGGTCCAAGGCGAGGTAGGCGATGACGCGGTAGCCGACGAGGAGGAGCGCCATGACGCAGACGTCGACCCAGTGGTTGTTGAGCCCGACGGCCTTGATGGCCGGGAAGTCGGCGACGAGGCAGCGCGCGCCGCCGCCGCCGCAGTCGTAGTGGGCGGCGCCGTCGCCGAACTGGATGCCGATGAGGAGGCGGTAGCAGTAGAAGCTGTAGTTGAGCCACCGGAGCCAGCCGACGAAGGGCGGGATGTGCTGGACGTAGTAGCCGCCGGCGATGAGGAAGACCATGGTGATGACGGAGGCGAGGGTGGTGCCCTGCTTGACGTCCATGAGCACGGCGCCAATGGCGAGCCCGAGGCTCTGGGCGACGAGGACGCTGTAGAGGACGACGAGGAGGGAGAGGAGGAAGGGGCCAGGGCGCGGGTCGAGGCCGCCCATCCAGTAGAGGATGACGACGAAGGCGGTGGGGAGGGCGAGCTCCATGGGTAGGTCGGCGGCGGTGCGCGCGGCGAAGTAGGAGGAGAGGCGGTACATCCCCGACGACCTCTCCTTCACCAGCATGGGGCGCTCGAGCGGGAAGGTGAACACGGCGTTGTAGAGCGGGAAGAAGCCCCAGAAGACGGAGAAGAAGAAGATGAGCGCCGTCCGGTCCTGCAGGTGCGCCGCCGGCGTGCGCCACCACAGCAGCCCGGCGAGGCTCGCCACGCTCAGCACCTGGAAGATCCGGAGCTTGTTGAACGACTCGTACCGCCGCTCCTTCACCCCTCGCCGGAGCAGCACCGTGAACTGCGCCCACCACCCGTTCGTCCACTGTTCCGCCGCCGCCTTCCCACCACCACGCCTCCTCCTCCCCGCCACCGCCGCCGCCGCCGCCGCGCCCTGACCACCACCACCGCCTCCTTCCCGCGCGCAGATGTCCAGCTTCACCGCCGGCGCAATGTGCCGCTCGTACGCCGCCGCCAGCTTCCCCCTCACCTCCTTCAGCTCCGCCTCACTCCCCCCGCCGTTCGCCGCCGCCGCCGCCGCGCCACCACCAACATCCCCATCACCACCACCGCCGCTGATCTGCGGCGCGATACCTGCACGAGCAAGAAGAGAGAGAAAAAAAAAAACCGCACGTGAGACCGTGAGCTCGACAAGTGTCCCGCCATTGTTCACAAAAGATTTGGAGGTGCAATACAATCATGAGCGCGCGCGGCGCTGTCGGGCGCGGGGAACGCAAATGCGCCGCGCCATGATTGGGCAGCTGCTCGATCGATCCATCGATCGAGACTCGAGAGTGCGCCAAGCTAAGTGTGTCCCCATCCATGTCCCTCTGATCTCCACCCAACTAAGCTATTGCGGCTGCCGATCGATGCCGGCCGGCATGCCGCTATCGCTCGCTCGCCATTGCGCACGCAATGTAATCAAACACTACCGCGACACGAACGCGTGATGGCGATCGATGATCAAGTGTGAGGGCTGTTCAGATTAATGCTATTTTAAAATATACATTTTTTTTAAGTTATCAAAGATATGCATACATTTATTTTTTTTAACTTTGGTAAATATATAAGAAATCCAGCTAAAATTTCAGCAATATTATTAACTTACTAAAATTTTGGTACTAGTTTATTTTGACTATAATCTAAACAGTCTATAAGTATTAAGTATTGCTATCGTCAGGGGACCCATGGAACGGCATGCGCGCACCGTATCAAGGACACAATCTCTCAAACACGTTGGCTCGTGCTTCTCTTCTCAGTGCTCACCAAGCTCACCCTCCTCTCTCTATCTCTGCTTATGCTTTTCTTTTTCTTTACTTATTAAAAAATTTATGAGCCCATGGTATGTGTAAGTATAAATTGTTTGATTATTGCTTTATGTTCACCTTTTTGCAAGGTGGTTAACTGAACAACTGTGGGGAGAATTATATATTATGAACAAGTGTTGAAGGATCTGATTCCTCTAGCTTTTTTATATGGGACGAATTGTACGGGAGAATAATCCTGTGAGGCCCTGTTTGGAATGTGGGGAATTTTTCGTTTTCTACAGGAATTGAAATGTTTGCTTGTGAAATTTCCGCAAAATCCGTTTATTTGAGGGTTAATTAGACTCTGTATTTTCTTCAGTGGTTGGACTCTGTTTGCAGAAAGGTACCCTCACAGAAACAACACATGGTATAATTCCAATTCCAAAGTATAACCAATGAAAAAAAATGCTAATAAAATGGAATATGCCATACTGTGAATTGAGTCCAGTTAACCACACATGTATGTGACACAAATTCTTATAGGGCGACCTTTCAAGATCACTGCATTACTTTTCAAGCTCAGGACTTTTAGCTGATAATAGTGGTGACTAAGGGCTACGAGCCTATGATCAAGTGTATGGTACATGTTCTAAATGTCATGGAGATGCCAAGAACTGATGGTTGCAATGCTTGAAACGATTTTAAAAAAAAAGGAATTGATGTTGTTGCCGCCATGTTGGGAGGCAAAGGGGAGAATCCTAATGACAAACTACTGAAGGGTGAAAATCTACACGGATGCTCGTCCATCGTTTACTTTTCAGCTTATAAGTCGCTGGAAAAAAATAAATATTAAAAACTTATTTTTAGAGTTGGTTTTGGGAATTTTCATCATAGTTTATTTTTCAACTTCCGCTTTTATATCGCTAAGAACATTTATAAAAGTTTTACCTCTAAATTATTCTTTGATCACTTATAAACCGTTACGGGCTTATAATCAGCTATAGGCGAAACGTTGAAACACAAATGTGTATCATGATTTTTCGACGATATAAATAAACCTTCTAAAAATCTATGATACAAATTCTTCTGTGGTAATTTCGCCGATTTGTTGGACATATGACGTGAGCGTTAGGAATAGAGTGTCAGATGCCAATATGCCATGTGAATTGGAGAGCATCACAAAAAGTTAGAGAGAGAGAGGAAGAGAAGATGAGGAGGAGGAGAGGGAATAATAATGGCGATCGAGGAGTGGGGATCGATGGCGTACGTACCGTTGGCGAGGTCGAGCATGAGGTCAGCCGGGTTGAGCGACAGCGGCGAGGCGAAGCCGACTGAGGCGAAGTAGGAGAGCGCGTCAGCGGCGAGGCCGTAGTAGATGGGGCAGCCGTCGGAGGAGAGGAGGAGGACCTTGTCGAACATGTGGTAGAGCCTCGACGACGGCTGGTGGATGGTCACCACCACGGTGCGGCCGCCGCCGGCGGCCATGCGGCGGAGCGTGCCGACGATCCTGGCGGCGGTGGTGGAGTCGAGCCCGGAGGTCGGCTCGTCGAGGAGGAGGAGGCTGGGGTCGACGAGCATCTCGAGCCCGATGCTGACGCGCTTCCGCTCGCCGCCGGACAGCCCGCGCACGCCGCGGACGCCGCCGATCATGCTGTGCGCCACCTTGCCGAGCCCGAGCTCCAGCATCACCTCCTCCGCCTGCGCGCGCTTCTCGCCGGCGCCGAGCGCGCGGGGGAGACGGAGCAGCGCCGTGTACCAGAGCGTCTCGGCGACGGTCAGGTGGGGGTAGAGCACGTCGTGCTGGGTCACGAACCCGGTGCGCCGCTTCACCGCGCCGGAGAACGGCTGCCCGTTGTAGGTGATCTTCCCGGACAGCATCCCCCGCCCGCCGCCGCCGCCGCCGCCGTGCCGGCCGCCCAGCGCCGTCAGCAGCGTCGTCTTGCCGCTCCCCGACGGCCCAAGCATCGCCAGCATCTCACCCGGCCGCACAACCCCGGACATCCCGCTGATGATCGTCTTCTCCTTCGCCACTGCCGCCGCACCCTTCTTCCTCCTCCCCTCCCCGCCGCCGCCGATCGCCGACGACATCCTCGCGCACCACCCCGCCGCCGGCTTGCCGATCTTCACCTTGTACACCACCTCCTCGAACTGCACCAATTATCACAAAAAAAAAAGCATGGTCACGTCTCATCACCAACCTCCCTCATGCACATATGTCAACATGCTCATGCACGTAGCTCTACAAGTACGTACGTACGTACATACATACATACCCCTCCGTCCCAAAAAAAGATCAACCTAGATTCGTAACTAGGAATTCATTTTTTTTGACAGAGTAGTATATATGTATATATACACAAATGTGTACTTGTCTACTCACCTTGAGGACAAGAGGGTAAGAGTTGGCGGCGGAGTGGTGGCCGGAGGCGACGGAGGGGTGACTTGAGGTAGTGGGGTGGACGATGGCGGCGCCGGAGGTGTTGGTGGAAGAGGACGACGCGGCGGTGGCGGTGGGAGAATTGGTAGAAGAAGAAGAAGAAGAAGAAGAAGAAGAAGAAGTGGTTGAAGGTGGAGAACTGAAGTCGCGGTGGTGACCGTCACCGGCGCCGCCCCCGCCGCTGCCAGCGGGTGTCTGGTGGTGGTGGTGGCGGCCATGATCATCGCCATGCAACTCCTGAGGCGGCATGGCGATCGATCGATGGATGAAAATCTCTCTGTCTCTCGGGTGTTTTTCACACACAAGCCACTATACCAACACCACAGCTAGCTAGGCTGTGGGATTGGATGCTATACTACTACAGCTGCAGTAGTGGCAGCTAGTAGCTAGCTAGCTTGATCGAGCTGAGTTGACACACAACCTTGTGATGATGGTGATGATGACGATGTTGAAGGAGAAGGGATGAAGGAGAGGGCTTTGCCTTCTCCTACTACTTCAACTAGGCTATCTCACTCCCAAGTGAAGTGCTGTCTGGTTTTTGGCTTGGTGATTGCAGGTATATTTATCATAGCTGAAGAGGAGAGAGAGAGAGAGAGAGAGAGAATGTGAATGTGTTTGTGTGTGGAGTGGGGGTGAATTGGCAAAGGCAAAGAAAGAAAGGGAGGGGGTAAGATGGACCTACCAAATGGGGCAGGGGAGCAACACTTGTTGCTGTCACTTTTTTTATTGGCTAGCTAGGATGGCAATTGGCAAACCCTATAAATTTATTGTTAGTTACTACCCAGTAATATATGTGTGTAGTTTTTTTTAGTGATTTTGTATATAGTTGATTAACAATTTGTGTGGCGTATTATCTAAAAAAAGAACAATTTGTGTGGTGTGCAAGGTAACACACCACTAGATGCATATGCTGATGATATCCATTAGAAGTTACAAATGGTGGTGGTAGTTATTGTTGAAACCTGAAAGGGAGTTTATATCACCCATATGGTGGTTTTGTAGCTCTAGCATGGTGTGGACTGTGGATCATCTCACTTTCTTTTCAAAGATATTAGAGAAATATTACTGATGTGGTGTAGTGCGCATAATGATTAAACTGGGCAGTTGGTTTGCAAATGGGATCTAAATGTAAATCTGGTTACAACTTACCCCAACAAACAAACATTCTAGTAATTAGGTATATTTACACGGGATCGGAAATGTTTGCAAGATTGCAGGAATAGAGATACAACTTGTAGCCCACAATGGCAGCCATACACAAGACAACAATGATTAAGATGGCAGGAAAGTGATGTGAGTTAAAATTTTTTTAGGGAAATGACAAATTACATACACCCAAGAGAAAGAAAGGAGAGAAACAAAAATAGTGCGATCTTGAAGGAGAGAGGAGGAACAGAGAAACTTAAACTAGAAAAAGAAAAGGGAAGCTCTACTTGTTTTATTTGTGTACTTGAGACTAATGAAAGTCATGTGTGGATTCGCACTTAATTTGCCACCAATTTTGCTGCTTAGGCTTCATCATGATGTCCTGCCATTAATTGTTCCATATTTAAATAGATATGGTAGCATCATAACTGTCACTTATGCTAACAACGTTATTAAGGCTTAGTTCGAACTAGATTGTTGGCTCGGATTTTAAACAGCACAGTAAACAAGATAGCATTAGTATTATTGAGTATTTTTCAAACTTAAAAAATAGATTTATTTATTTTTTTAAAAAACTTTTATATAGAAAATTTTTACACGAAACATACCATTTAATTAGCAGTTTGGGAAACGTGCTCATACTAAGGCCGGGTTTAGTTCCCAACTTTTTCTTCAAACTTTCAACTTTTTTATCACGTCAAAACTTTCCTACACATATAAACTTTCAACTTTTTTCTTCAAACTTACAATTTTAACGTAGAACTAAACACACCCTAAACGAGGGAGAGACCAAACGAATAGTGTCAGAGAAGTGGGGACATGGGTTCCCACCACCAACTATTAGGGACACCGGGGGTTTCTGAACCAGGCCACGTGGCACCAAGCCACGCCAGTCATAGGTGGGACTGAGAACTCGGTCTCTTATTTTAACAAGCCGAATCTAGAGTTCGGGATGCGAGCTCAGGGCACGCCCGAGCTCAGCCCCGTTGGCTGCTCGGGGCCCCTGTTACACCTTAAATATGACAGTACCTGGAGTGTCGGTACTCCTCGTCACAGAGATGCTCTTGCATTTAGTCTGAGGGATACGAATCCATCCACTACGCGTGGGGAATGATAAGCAACAAAACAACGCATGTCGATTGTGGAACTAACCATCATTATGCCTAAAAAGATGGGCATGGGATGTCAGGGGACGTGGTTGACTGTTATGTCGCTTGGCCAGACCCACCACAACATGACACACCCAGTTATCTAAGGCCGATAGGTGGGCCCAATAGACGTCATCTACATCCTAGTCACCTACCCCGAGCTACGCGTCGACGCGAAGGGCAAGTGGCTAGAGAGGAGCCGCCTCGTGTGAAGATAGCTCCGCTAGGCCCTCCTAGGGTCCTGTAGTGAGCCCTACTTGCCCGCATGCCGTAAAACTTTACCTACCTAATGCCCTTCTGTGGGACCCTTTTGCAACAGACATCAAACTATAAGGGAGAACCAAGGCCATGCAAGGAAGAAAAAAAACTCTAGTAGCTCTAGCTAAGAGAGTTTCACACCTTATAAAAGATTGAGGCAGAGATCTAAGGAAGAACACAACATGAGTAGGGTGCTATGGCTATGAGCGGCCCGATCCTACATAAACTGTTTGTCTTTTGCTCTTTCACGTGTTCATGACTTAGTTCCCACGGACCTGCTCCTTGGCCCATATCCACAAAAGGGGTGTTTCTGTACTCCCTGCTAGAGGAGTCCGGGCTCCGACAAATAGCTATTCTGAACGAAGCCTCCTTTGGACACAGTGACTTTCTAGATTCCCAAATGAATTGAATTGATTCTTCTAAAAATCGTGAAATTCTTACATAAATCTAGCAAAATCCGTATATATCAAAGGAGGTTTTACATATATATCTTTATGTTTATTTTTTTTAGATAATAGAAATGGATTACATCTCCGGCCTGTACCCGTAGGTACACAGCCAAAAAGTCCAGAAGTGAACAGAAATAAGTTTTAAAAAGGCGAGATGGGACAAACCCCCAACTTTTGGCACTAATATGATCTACTAAAATAATGTTTCTAAAGTCACATAGATTCTATCACGAAATTCTGTAGATACTATGCCATCTAAACTGGAATAAAAGTTCCTTGGCTACCAATTCCAAACGTGTAGCACCATTGCGCATAGTATCCTGTTGTTCCTGTGAAAGCATCATACACCAAGAGTGGAGCCAATTGGAACACATGAAGATAACCTGCATGATGTTAGGCATTTTATTATGGTTAAAAACTATATCATTACAGCAACGCCAGATTGACCAACATATAGCACTAGCTCCAAATAAAATCATTTTTTTGGGGTCTAGGCACTCCCTTAGGCAGTTACCAAAAATATCTTTTGCATTGTGGGGAAGGGGGATATTGAAGGCAAAGAAGATACATCGCCAAACAAAACGTGCAACATGACAGTCAAAGAAAAAAAAGTGTTGGATGGTCTCTTGTATATTACAAAAATAATATTGCTTGTTTCCCCTCCATTTTCTCTTTACGAGGTTATCTTTCGTTATGATTACTTTTTTTTAAGAAACACATAAATACTTTGATTTTTTGTGGTACCTTTACCTCTCATAAGATCCTCTTGTGGATCTTTACATTGGAATTGATGATCGCATTATACATGGATTTGACCAAAAATTGGCCATTTTTATGTAGCGACCAAATAAAGCAATTTTTTTTTGTCATTTAACAGGGTTATGTTAGCTAGTCGAAAAATCAAATCATTCCACTCAACTAACTTTGGTCCTACAATTGATCGTCGGAATGAAAAATTCAACGGTGTTGTGCTCATAACCTCTGCCAATATCTTTATGTTTAATGTAGCGCTATATTTATAGTATATATACAATTGTAAGTTTAAAGTATTAAAACTATGATAACATATGAAAATGGCATAAACTACATGTGTACGTATGCAATAATATGAATGATCCAAGTTTTTTTTTAAAAGAACATTTCTAGTGATGGCAACTTATCGGTTTTGATGAAGCCGTTGGGGACAAGTTTGTGGAAAACTAAGCGGTTTTAGCTGGTTTTTCATATAGTAGAATTGACCAAAAGTTTTCAGTTTTTGGCAAAGCGACAGGACTGGTTTTCACCTTGAAAAGGGTAATGTAAACCATACTACAGTTAACTTCATATAACTTGTCAGATTATTATATATCAAAATGTTCACCCTGCTCCATCTACAAATGCTCGCACTGCATCACTACAAATAAAGTGAAGAAATTTCAATGCATGCACACACAGTTGACACAATGTGAGCAACTCATGTTAGCCATCATTAATTGATGGAAGTGTGTCACTTGCCACTTTTTCCTCTTTATTTTTTAAAGTCAAGTACAATATGCAGATATGTTGGATTATATTTGGAATACATCACCTCTGATAATTTTTGGATCAGGTATCTCGAGGCAACACTAGACGAACCCTTCTCACCTCCACCATAACTTAAGGACATGGATCCTCTGCAGTACTGCATTTGTATTAGCAGTGGCTGACAGGTGGACCCGATCCCATATGTCAGCGGCTACTACTGCAGGTGCAGTACTGCAGACAATCTCCACTGTTAACTGAAGCCCCTTGAATTAGGGTCATTTTATGGTACCTTACGCTAGTAGCCTCTATGCAGTGGTGACGGGAACGTATTTATAGTTTCTCGGCAATGGTGATTAGGCTATGCCATTACACAAAGCATGTTTGGTAAATACGTACAAAGAGGATGTATAACATATGTAGAACATAAATGTTGCATTTTGGGACCTGAAAACATAAATTACACATTGGACCTGCAAGCCTAGTTACACTAGATGAGACGCAATACAAACATATACATGAGTTCATGTCACTATATTATCATATAGGTAATCGCACTTTGTCTTGTAGAGGTGAAACGGTAGCTCTGCTGCTATATGTATTAGCCTTTTCAGCTTTAATTATGTTATGACCCATTGACGACGAGAGTACTGAATTTAATCTCAGTGGGCTGGTTGTGGAGGCTGACACAAAGAGATCTAGATCATCCCTCGTTTTCCAAATGCTAGCTAGCTAGGAAAATAAGAGCTCATTTGTGTGATGTGTCTACAGAAACTTGTGTTTCCTCTTTCTGGTTTTACTATTAGGATGTTACATGCCTATGCTTTAGCTATAACTATATATCCTAACCTATAACGCTATCTGCTATCAAAGACCACAGTTTTAGTGGTGCGATAAGTATTTATCCTAATGGCCTCGCAACTGAAACCGGTACATTTGTGCAGACGGTCTATAACCCGTTTTCTCAGACGTTTATGCAAACTTCCTGCAACTAAGGGCCTATAAAAATCGAGGATTATTTGTGCAGTCGAATTCCACGACAGCCACCATACTAAAAATATTATGGAAC